ATAATCTCTTAAGATTCTGCATGGCTTTGGGGCACCTAGGTGTCTCAGTCAGTTAAGCGTCTGACTTTGGCTCAGATCATGATCTCATGGTTCATGGATTCAAGCCCCACATTGGGCTCTGTGCTGACAACTCAGAGCCTGGAGCCTACTTCAGAGTCTGTCTCTCTCTTGCACATGCACTCTCAAAAGCAAATAAGAAACATTTTTAAAAATAAAAAAAAAAAGATTCTGCAAAGCTGTAAGAGTTATGACTTTATAACATATAAAGTATTTTTAAGTATTAAGTGATAATAGTACAAAACAACACAAAATCAAATAATCATTCACTTTTTGGAAGTTAAGCCAAGCATTAAAACCAGTAGTAATATTACTTGCTCTTTATGCCCCTGAGTCATAAATGACATATGCATGATGTATTTTCCCATAAACTATTTTCTAATACAGTAGTCAAGGGTCATAAATCAGGAGAAGATTGATATTACTTCCATTTGAATAAATATGCTTTAGAAGTAATGAGTAAAGTTATGTATACTACAGTGACACTTTGTGTTGTATTAAAATTATACCATTTCAAGTGGTTAGTTTTATTCCTTTTACTCTATTTTTTAAAATATAATTCTACAATAGCTACATTTCAGTTGAGACCTGCATTATTTATATAAGCTAAAACTCTACTCTTGTTAGTGTGAATTTAATGTCACATAAAAACCATCCTTTAAGTTTATTTTTCACTATATATTATTCAATTATAGGAATGAAAGCTATCAAATGATTTCTCATATAATTTATTTTTTCCACTGTTACTATAAAATGTTTTAGAGACATTTATGTTAAACTCAAATTTAAAGGTTTTAACTTTAGTTCCTTATTATTTCAATAGAACGAACAATGCTTTCTGTTAGGTAAAATTTCAGTATAACTGCAATAATTTAAAAGTGTAAATATCGGGGCGCCTGGGTGGCTCAGTTGGTTGAGCGTCCGACTTCGGTTCAGGTCATGATCTTGCGGTTTGTGAGTTCAAGCCCCACATCAGGCTCTGTGCTGATGGCTCAGAGCCTGGAGCCTGTTTCAGATTCTGTGTCTCCCTCTCTCTGACCCTCCCCCGTTCATGCTCTGTCTCTCTCTGTCTCAAAAATAAATAAACGTTTAAAAAAATAAATAAAAGTGTAAATGTCTAACTTATAGGATATTTTTAGTATTTGTGAAGAACTGTGGTTCTGTCTTATTGTTTTTAATACTTCCAATTAACAGCATATGAAGCTAAAAAAGTATTGCAGAGTAAAAATTATTGTAAATCTATTTCTAAAACTAGATTGAAATTGCTTTTAATTATATAAGTGTATTTAAATATATATGTAGATTTACACACATATATGAAGGAAATGTTTATGAATTATTAAGAAACTGAAACGCAAATATTTCCACTAGAACCCCTTTCAGGTTATTTGCTAAGCAAAAAAAAAAAAAAAAAAAAAAAAAAAAAAAAAAAAAAAAAATTAAGTTTATTTATTTATATTTTTGAGACAGAGCACAGGCAAGGGGCAGAGAGAAAGGGAGACAGAGAATCTCAAACTCATGAATAGTGAGATCATGACCTGAGCCAAAATCAAAGAGTCAAATGCTTAACCGACTGAGCCACCCAGGCACCCCGTTCAGCAAAATATTTTAACATATAAATCAAAGACAAACTTCAACCCTACTAATATCTAAATTAATGAAATTTCATAATGACTACTTAGTTATATAAATGTGCTTAACATTTTCAAGATTATGCTATGAAGCTAATAATAACAACTCCATAACAAAGAGCTAAACAGAACTCATCCCCTGAATTGTTTGACATACTTATCTCTTCTACTTACCCTCATAAGAACACTATTAAAAGAATAAGATCAAGCAGATGCTGTGATCAAAAAGACAGATGCTGTAGAGTCAAGAACTCATGTGTTTTCTACTATTGACTAGATATGTAATTATAGTATTTTTTAATTCTCTAAGTCTTAAAGGGAAAATACAGGCAAATACACAAAAGGAGTAGTGAAGCTAACATTCAGTGTGGTAATATATATAAAACATCTAGCATAACATGTGGAACAGAGTAAGAACTCAGGAAATGCTATTTCCCAGATATCCACCACTCTTTAAGCCTCCTTTCTTTATACTCCCATTATCATCTCCTGATAAATATAAATAGGTGTAAGAGAGTGGATCACATTCATTATGTAGATGAAAAGAGAGTCAAAGATTTGAGTCACGAAAACAACAAAAATCAAAGAATCTCACAATTTCTAGATTAAGACAACCCCTTAAAGATTGTCTCTTTCAACAACGTAGACATGCTAATGAGAGGGTCAGCCATCTTATGGTCTTTCTCTATACCTACTAAATTTTAAAACAGGAGTCATTTACAATGTGTGTATTTACAAAACCATAGAAAAATAGAACCACTTGGTTATCTGTAAACAAATGAAGAGAGTATTCCCAAAGACAGAAAAGCAAAATATAATTCTTTTTTGAATTTTATATGGGTAATGTTTGATACATTTTGTTTTTACAACCCAAATAGAATCTTCTATTAACACAATACTAAAATTTTCCAGACATATTAAAGGAATGCCCAGAATAACTCAAATTTTCCTGTTCTCATCTTTAAAAAGCTCATTGATTCTAATATAATATTTAATACCAAGTTGTAATAAGAGCTATAGTATAAGTGGGAGAGGTAGGCCCCTAATATTCTAAGGTGTATAATAAAATAGATTATGTTGCCATTCACTGAAATAAGGAATATAAGAGTGAACTAGGTTGAATTGGGTTGGGCTGTATTGAAATTTTTTTTATATATGAATTTTTGTTTTGTTTTGTCTTGTTTTGTTTTAGAGAGAGAGAAAGAGCACAAGTGGGGGGGCAGAAGGAGAAAAACATAGAGATAGAGAGAGAGAGAGAGAGAGAGGATCTCAAGCAGGCTCCATGCTCAACACGGAGCCAGACATGGGGCTCAATCCCACCACCCGAGGATCATGACCTGAGCCGAAATCAAGAATCAGACACTCAACTGACTGAGCCCCCCAGGCATCTCTGTGTTGAGACTGTTAATTCAACCTTAGACATGGGAAATTTACTTCTAAGACATCCAAGGAGTTATGTCAAGTAGGCAATTGACTACATGGACATTGAGTTCAGAGGAAAAATCTGAGCAAGAGTAATAAATGTGGGTCATCATCAGGAAACCATCTAGGGAGTGAATGTAGCCTAAGGCCATTCGTTGAGTAACTCCAAAATAGACTGGCTTAGTGAAGGAGAATGAGTTTATAAAGGAGTAGCCACAAAGAGAAGCAAAAGATCTGGTCCAAAACACCAACAGAAAAAAACAAAAACAAACAAACAAAAAAAAAACATGTAGTCAACAAAGTCAGATACTGAGAGAATGTCAAGTAAGATACTTGTTAAATTTAGCAATGTAGAAGTCATTGGAGATCTTACAGATACCTTATTTCAGTGGTGACGAGGAATAAGCTAGATATATATGGGTTGAGAACTAAGTAGGAATTAAAGAAATGAGTGAATATAATCACTCTGAGAACAAGTATGACTAAGAAAACAATAGGCAAAGGCAGTTGGGGGAAAATATAGAAGGGTTATCTGGGGTGGGCAGAGATGTAGAAATTGTTTTAAGAATCAACACTTAAGAATATTTAACAAATGAGCACTGGGGCACCTGGGCGGCTCAGTCAGTTAAGTGTCCGACTCTTGGTTTCGGCTCAGGTCATGGTTTGTGGGGTTCAAGTGCTAACAGCACAGAGCCTGCCTGAGATTCTTTCTTTCCCTCTCTCTCTGCCCCTCCCCATACATGCACACACATGCACTCTCTCTCTAAATAAACAAAAATAAAAAAAAAAATAAACAAAAATTGGATCCAATTGAGAAGAAAAGGTAAACCTAATATAAAAAATGATGAAAAATTTCTGAGAAAGTATGAGAAGACATGATACAAAAAGAGGCGCAAGAAATAGACTTGAGAAAAGGAACAGTTCCTCTATGGAAGTAAGCACAGAGAATGGGTACAAACGCAGCAGATATGGATATGTAGTCACAGAAAAGAAGGGAGTTGCCACCTGATGATTCTAATTTTTTTCTGTAATGTAGAAGATATCCAACTGCTGACAATGATGGGTGGAGATAAGAGGATCAGAGACTTGAAAGAAGTGGAGAATATTTTAGAAGTTATGTAGAAAGTGCAACTATAGACCAGAGAAATTCGACACATCATAATTTCCTTGAGAATCTTGATAAACCAACCCAGTTATGAGAGTATGATAGAAATGTATATACTCTAGTCAGGAGAAGAGAGTAGAGACACCATACCAGTAACACCTGTTGGAGATGCAAGCAATAACCAAAGCCAGATTATAAATTTTAAGTTATAGATCAAAATTTAAACTTTAAAATGGTAGAAAACGTAATTATTGAAATCATTGAAAACAACAGTATCCACAGACAAGTAAAGTAAGAGGATCCAGGAGGATATTTACAGATCCAGAAATCAGCAAGAAACAACAACAGTAAGACAAAACAGCATAGCAAGTCTCAGAAGGATTTTTACAAGTGAAGCAGATTGCTGTTTTCTAATAAGTTTGTTTCCTTCTAACAGAGGGGAAGCCAATTTCTAGAGAACATTGACCTGCCTCTTTCTGAACCAGGAATTCACAGTGAATCTGGTGGACACTGATGAGAGGAATAAAGACAACTTTTAACAGGATTTTTCAGAAAATAGTTCAAATTGGTAAAATATTGAGATATTTGATCAGGACACTACATTGACAAAACCCAGAATCATTTTTCCAGAGTCCTATAAAGTAACTCAGTTATACAAAGTTTTGTACTTAAAATGAAATGTCAGCTTCTAGAAATTTTATGTTCATAATACCATGTAACTGAAGCGTTCTGTAAAATTACATCAGTTAAGTTTTCTTCCTTCAAATTATTTTTGTTTTACGTACTCAGACTTCTTTTCGTAGGTCTTAGAAGATTCTTCAATTCTCTTCTCTAGCTCCAGGACAGCTTCTTCCTTGTTTAAAAGCATCTGCTGTGTCTGCATAAGTTCTTCTGCTAAGGTTTTCAACCTAGAATGATCAGTTTCCTCATTATTAGTCAATACATTATACTCACTTTACACAAACACACTAAACATTCATACATCTAAGGTGGTGATGTCCAAAGCAGTAGCCACATGTAATTTAATGTAAAGTAAATTAAAGTAAAATTTCAGTTTCTTGGTTGCATTAATCATATTTCAAGTGCTAAACAGACACATGTGGCTAGTGGCAGGCAACCTTACTGGACAGTGAAGAAAAGACTATTTCAGTAATCACAAGTAGTACTCTTGGACAGTCTGAGAGTCTTAGTCATTAATAAAAAAGGGAAAGAGAAACAGAAAATTTAAAAAGAAGAAAGGATTGGGGCACCTGGTGACTCAGTCGGTTAAGCGTCCGACCTCAGCTCAGGTCATGATCTCACGGTTCGGGAGTTTGAGCCCTGCATTGGGCTCCCTGCTGTCAGAGCAGAGCCCGCTTTGGATCCTCTGTCCCCCCCTCTCTGTACCCCTCCCTAGCTCATGCTCTCTCAAAAATGAATAAACATTAAAAATAATAATAAATAATAAAAAGAAAAAAAGGATTTAAGTAAATAAATACCGATAATGTTTCAGGAAGAGTGTAAAGACCATGGTTTTTATTTTCAGACAAACATTTATTTACATTCTGGCTGTGCCACTTTTTAGAGATGCTGAGCAAGTTGCATGAGCTCATTAAATCTATTTTCTCACTTGTAATCTGAGGGCAGGAATACCTGCTTAAAAGCATTGTTTTGAGGATCAAATACAGTAATGTATATGTAATGACTGGTACTTAGTAGGCACTGAGTATATGGTATCCAGGATTTCTTGCATGTATTCTCTCATTTACTTCTCACAACAACCAATCAGATAGTATTATCCTTATTTTAAAGAAGAGACAGTGAGGTTTAGCTGAATGGCAATTTAAGTGGATAGTAAGCGATTTCTCTTTTCATACACTATATTAATGCTTTAGGGATACTTTCCATATAGATATTAACACAACTAAATAAACAAAATTAATATGAACTTTAGCCCAGATCATTTTTGGTTGCATAAAATGCATTTGGTCCTGAATAGAAATATTTCTACCAAAAAAAACACAGAAAGCTATTGTATCACATTAAAATCTTTATCTTCAGCCTTTTATAGCAAAACATGAAATCCAAAATATACAAAAGAAAATATTAAATAATCCAACTCCACGAAAATGTAAATATGTTGGAAGTTAAAGAGATGATAAAGAAAGTCAAAAGCAAAAGTCAAACTGGGAAGAAATAATTTGCAGTGCAAATTACAAGCAAAAGCCCTCTTAAAAAAAGGACAACCTAATATGAAAATGGACAAAGAACGTAACTGGAAATACAGGGCTGACTCCTTTCCTTGTAACAGCTGTATCATCAAGTTAATCACTTCACCTTCCCACCTCAGAATAAGAGAAGTATTTGTGTTGACCACTTTATGTCTCTACTGCAGTTTGTAAAGCACCTTATTCTTGTGTGACAAACAACAGCTCTAGAACCAGACACCCTCACTTTCAATATTCACTCAGCTTTTCTAAACTTCCATTTCCTCCGTTAATAAGATAGGAATCAATTTAACACCTAACTTAAAGAGTTCTTGTGATTCTGTGCATATTTTTAAGTTACTATTACAGAGTTTGAAGCATAACATGTTCTCTATACGTGTAATCTTACATTATTAACCAATTTTATTAGTTTCATTAAAAAAAACATTTTTCTCAGAAGTAACTTTAAGTTTTGCCTTCCACCTTTAAGAATATTTTGTTAACAGTGGGTGCAAAACAATAATGTTGCTCCCAAGGCAGAGGTAGAATTGAATATATTATAAATAAAACTCAAGAACAGGTTACATTTTTTATTATTTATGCATTATTCCCAATTAAGGGCAAGTAAAATAATGGAATACTGCAAGCACACTACATAAAAAATAGAGAAGCCACGCACAATTAAAAGTTTTTCCCTTCAAAACAATGTTATTTCCAACAATGTTAATTTTTCAGAAATGTGAAAATTTTCAGTTCCATAAGAAATTAATATAAGCTTGTATTTTTTTATCATCCTTGGTACAAGAGTAAGTATGTGCATAGGCATACACATAAATATGTACATACATGTTGATTTGATGTGATTTAACAGTAGTAATATCACTACATATCAAAAAGGAAGCAAAAAATGAGAAATTCTATTATTGATTCCTTCATAGTTTATCATTTGGACAAGGGAAGACATTTGATTGTGGTGAATATCAGTTTCCCTAGCACTGCCCTCTTTTTACTTTCTATTTTTACTCTGAAACAGGCTAGGAAAGGAGGAAAGAGGTGAAAGCCAGAGTCAATCAGCAAGTTTAAACTACCTTAGACCCCATTCATCATTGGTACCTCTAGCAAGGTACATATATTAAAATCCAAATCTGCTAAGATTTTCTACTTCCTTTAGTAATCATTTTAGCCTCCTGAAAAACATCACCTAATGTTTCAAAGAGAAATTAAATTTGAGGTTTTATATAGGCTAAATTTTTTTAGTACATGTCAGCTCATTTGTGAGAAGAATGGGTTGGTACTTTTGATTTCCCTTCTCCTCAAATTCCTGGTCTGTGCTATAACAATTTTAAACCAGAAAGAAAGAAACCTACCACAGCTTACTAGATTCCCTAAAGAGCTGGAAATGCACTAGAAACTCAAAGGCCTAGAAGAACTAACAACACTTCTGATCCCTGGCAGGTCTGTTCTGTCAGCTAGAATTCACCACCTACTACATTTAGCAATGAAGGCCAGAAGGCCCAAGGAAGAAAGAAAGGAGATAAGAGTAAGGAAATGGGGAGAGCAGAGGGAAGAGAATAATAATATTAGCTGTTTCTACCTTTTCTAGCTCCTGATCATGTCAAGAAATTGGTACCTCTTCTCGAGGCTTTAATTTTTTGACTGCCTTAGCATAACTGACCTTTATGAAAAGTCTTTCTAAATTAAAAACAAAACAAAACTGAGTAAGGTAAGTCTTTGAAGTCAAAACTTCTTAATATTTCTACATATCTAAAGATTCATAGTTGTAAATTCAAAGTGGAAAAGACAAATGATCTTAGAAGAATGGAATTATATGGGGAAACCATTTTCCCTTCTTTACAACCATCCTCCTAAAAAAAACATGGAGTGAAAATCCAGTGAAGAGGAAAACACTCTAATAATTATACTTTATGAACCGATATCATAATACCTGTTAGGATAATTTGCAAAGCACTCTTTACCATGATGTCATTGTTATATATGTTTGTATACAAATGCACTAGTAACAGTCCAAATGGCTTATTCTTTACATCTTTAGAGTAAATGTGTTATACTTAAACAACATGACTCAAAACATTTAAATGTCATGACACTGCCTTAAAAAAAAATTCACAAAACTGACATAATACTTAACATTTACTAAATGCCTAATAGTTTCAAGCACTTTATAAGTACTTAAATCCATAACATTTTATAACATCATTATTATCGCCATTTACATATAAGAGACTGAGCCACAGGGGCGCCTGGGTGGCGCAGTCGGTTAAGCTTCCGACTTCAGCCAGGTCCGACGATCTGTGTCCCTTGAGTTCGGTATGCCGTGCGACTCTGGGCTGATAGCTCAGGCCTGTGTTTCCGATTCTGTCTCCCCTCTCTCCTCCCACCAGCCGTTCATGCTATGCTCTTCTCGTCCCAAAATAAATAAACGTTGAAAAAAAAATAAAAAAAAAAAAAAAAGAGACTGAGCCACAGAGATTAAGGATCTTGTCCCAGGTGAAAGAGCTGGTAAGTGGAAAAACATGTCAGAGTCCAGGCAGCTTAGATCCTGAGTGTATGGACTTAACAACTAATATCCTCTGTATTAGTAATTTCACCTCATAAAATTTAGTTAATGTCTATAGTTCAACAAGTACACAAAGATATAAAAACAAAGATATTTGTTGAAGCACTGCTTATAATCACAATAACAAAAGGTGAACTCTCTGTGATGCTAATAACACTTAACCTACAGGCAGCACACTTGCAAGATCTCTTCCCAGAGTCTGCACTTGCTTTTACACTTGTAAGTCACTAGAGTTTTAAGATGTCACACACACACATACACACCCACCCCAATTTTGTAAGTTTCAGCCTACCAAAATCTGTATCCACCCCTTAGCAAAAAGAAAAAATTAGAAATAAATACCCATCTATAAATAACTACATTAAATAAACCTTATTACATGTAAGCATTAAAACACTGTGCACTATTAATATTTCGTATATATTTTAAAAAGAGGGTAATGCAAAAAAGTATGCATTGAATGAGCCCACTTAAGTCAAGAAAATTTATATACATGTGTATGTCTGTCTCTACAGTCTGGAAAAATACATGACTTTTTTAACCAATTAGCACCAGAAGGTAGAAATGTATCTTTAAAAAGAACTTTGGGGCGCCTGGGTGGCTCAGTCAGTTAGACATCCGACTTCAGTTCAAGTCATGATCTCACGGTCCATGAGTTAGAGTCCCGCATGGGGTCTGGGCTGACAGCTCAGAACCTGGAGCCTGCTTCAGATTCTGTCTCCCTCTCTTTCTGTTCCTCCCCCACTCGCGCACTGGTGCGCACTCTCTCTCTCTCTCTCAAATAAATAAAATATCAAAAAAAATGTTTTAAGGAGAGCTTCAATTTTCACTGTACATCCTTTTTGTAAGATTTTATGGATTTTATCATGTGCAAGCATTAGTTAGATAATTTTTAAAGATTTAATGTATTTAACAAAACAAAAGCAAAAAACACTGTAGACAATAACAAATTTTCGGTACTTCTACAATAACTTTTCTATCTTCAAACCATTGGCCATCATTGTCTAAATTTTATAGCACTCTTACAGAGACCTAACTTCCTAAAAAAGTATAAATTATAAATTTCCAACGCTGTCATATTCATTGTGACATTTGGGTTAATTAAAAAAAATAATTGGAAAAGGGGTACAGCTGCCTGAAGTAA